AACATTAACCAGATTCTTGTTTGTATGATTTGTATACCAGTGAACAAAAAAAAAGATTTCACCAGAGATTTTTGTCAGTAAAACATGGACGAGGAGTGTCCAAACTGGAAAAAAGCCCAAGGCATTTTATTTTGGCTGGCTTAAACGAAAATCCTATTCTTAGCTGTGTAGCAGTCCTTGCTCTTTATTGCTTAATAATAATAAAAATGATAATTTAACATTTTTTTCAGGATGTTTCTCAACACATAAATTGAACTTAAGTATTCTTTCATCCATCCATTCTGCAAAAAGACAAATGGGAATGTGTGTTTAGATGATACGCAGAAGCATTTTCCAAATAAATTCTTTTTTTTTATTAAATAGACAGCAAAAGCTAACATAATCTGAAACAGTGCAATATACTTTAAATTTCTGCTGTGTATTTCATTTTGTTTTTCACTTGATACATTTCTTCGCAAGACTAAAATGTGCAGACACCTTTATTTGTGACTACAAAGTCTATGAGCAATTCAGAGGGTGGAATGAAAAGAGAGAAAATAAATAACACGGTCTTATTGATTCGTCATTTCTTAGTCTAAGGATTGTTGTGTTTTGCAGCTCATAGACCTGTGTTCCTTTATTGTTGTTTTCTACGTTCAATTGCATTACTGGACAAAGTCCCTTAACAATTTTTCACAGATATAAAGATGGTCAACACCAACTCAATTTGATTCCAAATATCATTTTTTGTGCTTTTTAGCTTTAGTAATGATTTAAATAATTGACTGAGTTATCAGTATGTCTGTACCTGCTAAAGGATGCATAGAGTGCCTGTTTGTCTAATTCCATCAGAGTTCAGAATCAGGTCATTTCATAGCAGAAGACCCAAATCTCACAGGTGCTGCAGCAGCTCCTGAGCAGTAACTATATTGAGAGGGTGCCTCAGGGCTGATGTATTTTACACTGACAGCATAGGAACATCATGTTTGTTGTATTCTACAAATTTGGACATAAATTGAGTTACAGTCTTAGGGGTTTATGATTTCTCCAAACACCTCTGTATTATACATTCTGAAGCAGAATCACATCATGAAGGAAATCTGTTCTCACATTAATACATCATTAACATATCAATGAGAGTGTGGCTGTTGTTTAAGATGCTAATTACCTTCAGGATAACCAAGTTTAATTCCCACAACAGAACTGCTGACCAAAAGATGTGCGCAGCTGAAAGACTTCATACATTTGTTTTCAGTTCATTTATTTTGTTCAAATTAAACAGTGGGTTCATTAAAATATGAGGAGCATGGGTTTCATATATTGAACAATGACAGCCTGCTGCCTTTTTATGTGTCCAACAAACCAGGTAAATAAATCTGTTTAACAAACTAGATAATAGTATCAGGCAAATTTAATGTTAATTAAAGTAGGAGGCATCGTGCCACGTGAGGTTCCAAGTTAAAACCTGATCTTTTATTTTTAACTTACTGCACTGTAGTGACTTACCTGTGTCATATTATATTCAATGATGTTGTTCTCACTCTAAACTATTGCAATGCTTCACTCACCTCATTATGTTGAAATCTTAAAAATATAATCTCAAACTTCTTAAAGCACCAGAACATTTAAAATAAAAGTTATGTGGACTTTGCCAGTAAACAAAACATCTGTTCTTTCTGTCTCTTTCACTAAGATGTTGAAATCAATATAGCAATGGTTTATCAAAGATTGACTTCTATGAGTATGATATTCCCCACCTAAAATCTATTGAAACCCTGGTGAATATATTGAGGAGAAGAGAGGATGAGAGATGCCTGTCTTTTGGATGTTCCAAAAGAAATTTCTCTGTCTCCTCCAAATTTGTAAGATGTTAAAGTAAAAAACTAATAGTTTGCTTTGAATTATTGAGGGACACCAATAATTGCACCATGATTTCAGTTTCAATCAATGGATTTTTCTCACCACTCTATTAAGTGTACTCAAATTAAAGGGTGGATTCTACTTCAATAAACAATAAAATTATTTAAGGGTCTTGCTACAACTTCACTGAGGGTTACAATAAATTTAACCAGCACTGTTTATCTATATTTGAAGCAGCACTTGTCAAAAACTGATTAAAAAAAAACATTAAATCATTTAATCCTATGAAGACCTGTTGCCTGAAGGTAAATTTGACTTTGGCCTTTAAACTCGACTTACTGAATCTTATGCAATAGATCTGTCTGGCCCCACCTCATCCTCATTGAACACAATTTTTCTTGAGTGACTGCTTATTTGTTAACGCAAATAGACACTATCTCATTACAAAGCATCCATTGGGACGCACAATGTCTGAGCGATTTATGAATGGCTGAGATAACAGGCGCAACAAAGAGAAGATGAAACAGCTCAATATATTGTTGCTCGTGCTTAGATAGCAATTTATCATCAGTGGGAAGGAGGAGAAGCCAACTTAATAAAGATAATTCCTACTGTTAAACTGAGACACTCTGCTTTAGCTGTTTTATATCATGGCTGTCTGAGCATGCTCACAAAACTGTGTCCGGGTGGCTCTTAGACAGGTAGTCGGAAAACGGCAGGACCTTACAAACGTGGCAGTTGGTGTTAGAGAGCTCTCTGCTTCACCAAGTGGCAATTTGCGAATACAACAATTTCAACAAACTCATTGAGCTCTCCTACGCTCTCTTGACAGCAAAACATCCAGGAACCATTGTGCTCCAAACACTTGCCCGTGCTCTCCTCCCACTCACCCAATCACCTGCATTGCTACGGAAAGCTCTTGTTTGTCACGCACGAGATGTTTCAAGCTGAGAAATCGAGTTGGAACAGAGATTCAGAACGGACTTTTTCAGATTTTATATTTTTTAGAGAATGTTGCTTTGTTTTTTTTCAGCAAAAGATTAAAGTTACTCTTCACAGAAACATTGGTGATGACCTATAAACAACTGTTTTTAACACATTAAATTTTGCTTGACATATTTTTTATATTTGATAAAGTTTAATTTGCATTATGTAAGCCCATATTTCATTTTAATTTCTGTATAAATTAGGCATCAGCATTTTTGGGCAGCTACTTGACATTGCTTCCAAAAAGGACCTTAGCTGTTCTTATTTGTAGTAAAAATGCTAGTTTTAGATTTTAAGCATCACCTTGAACCTGAGCACAAGAATGAGGCACAGAAAGGTTTGCAGTAATACTTTTTTCTTCAACTCTGAATAGCAACTGGCTTTGTCACTTGTTGAATGTCAACATGCAATGGCAGTACACTAACTTTGTCAAAGATATCTAGTATTGTCACACCATCCCTCCTATGCATCCCCAGTAAGTAACAGGCATTTAGAACTGACAAATGTAATCAAGTAGCAAGGTTATATAAATATTTCCACTTTCCCAACTCAGAAACCCCAGCAGCTTTTTTGTCCAGACAACCAGGCCCTGCAAATTATTTGTGACTGATTACTTATTGTGAAAATGACTCTCCTGGTGTGTGATGAATTAGATTCACTAATACAGGGAGGCATGTGGGTGACATGCAATTTTAGATCATCATATTGTGGGAACAGAGTGTACAAGATGAGGTCCACTGAATATTCCAGGCAGTAATTACAGTCAGTGCCCATAAATGTGTAATATGTTTAGAGTATGATGTGCCAAAGCAGCGGCATGGTACAGAATACATGACTGCTTTCTTTGATATTTACAGAGGAAAACTTAACATTCTCCTTGACCTCTAATTCTGATATCAGAATATCACAGCACACTTTTATGTGTGTTATACATCAATCTTAACATTGTGTCATCTAAACTAAACACAAATTTCCGTTTTATGCTTGCAATACTGTACTGCTCCCTGTTAATCACCTAAGCTCCAGGATTATTTTAAAATACTTTAAGACAGTTTGTTATTCTGAACTGTTTTGGAAGACTAGTGGGAGCATGCCAAACTCCTACTCTACCCAAATTTAAACCTAACATTCGTCATTATAGATAGTTCCCACAAGACCAAAACAGAAGCTAATTATCCCAGGAATGCAACATCTCGATAGAAAACAGTAAGTAGCATTTTTTTTTCAGGCTTTTTCTAATCTTCAGGAGAAGCAGTTTATGTCTGGCAAAAGTAGAACTTATGAAAAAGTCAACAAGTCATTTGTGTTTTCTGACAGCAATGGAGAGAATGATGATGTGACTGGCTGCATCAATAAGAATTGTCTGCATGTCTAGTTGCATATTAAGTGGATAAAGTTGATCCATGTCCTAAGGGGATCTTTCTGTTGTGCTGATTGTAAGCGTAAACTCCAGAAACAGCAAAAGAAGCATTACTAATAACATATAGGCCTGAGTATCAACAAGAATGTACCATCTACTGTCTCCATCTGTAATATGTGCAACTGCGACACATAAAAAGCAAATAGAATGTAAATTTAAGCAAGTATTGTTTGATTGTAAATATGGTCACATAAGCAGTAATTGTATGTGCTGAAATAGCCTACATCAGCAGCTCTGAATGCAGGTATGCAGCAAGAAGAAGTGCATCTTTTTATGCATGTGTATAATATTTACTGTAGGTGCACTGTAAAAAGCAAACTATAGAATTTACCCTAAAAAAGTGAGGTAACAATTTGCACTGTCCCCGTTAAGGTATATTCAGTTAAATATATTGAGTATTAAGTAATTAACTTAGACATGTAAGAAATACTTAAAAAGTTGGGTAAAATGTACCTCATATTTATGGTTAAATTCAACAGGTATTTAGTAAGTTAAAATAGGTAAAAATTTGTCTTGTTTGCTAGTAAATCTTAGCTGAAAATTAAGAGTTAAAGTTAACTGAAATCACTGAGTTACCTTTACTTATTCGGGTAAGTTAAAATGCAGCTCCAAATAATAGATCGAGATGATACACTTTTACAATTATTTTATTCTAAGAATTCATCCAAAAAGTACAACAGAAATAAGTACAACACAGCAGTGTCAAGCAAAATTGCAAATACTTAAACCGCAGTATAACATCTATATTTTTTCAGTAATGTAGGACTATAAAACATGTCAGACATCCAATCTCAGGAGTACATCAGAGAAAAGGACAATTTAGGAGAACAGAGAAAATTAAAGGAGAAGTGAGGTGCAAGGTATAAAGTCTTAATTGTGTTTCCTCGGCCTCACACAACAGTGACTGAGCAAATCTTCAGATGTGCAGGTGTATTTAAACACAACAAATAACAGAACTATAACACATTAACAATAAATGAATAAAGTGCAGTACAACAGCTACAACATTTAGACATTTCAAAACACATTTTATAACACACTGAGCTAAGGCTACATTTGTTGTCTCTGGATAAGTATTTAATGCAACCAAACTTTAAGAATCCCCTTATTCTATTCCAAAAGCCTGAAAACCCACACACAAACTGCAATGTGTTTTTTTTCTGCATGTGTACAGTATGAAACATGTGGATGAAGACAGATCAGAAAAACAACAGTCCTTAGTTAATATCGTTGCACTCACTCTCAGATAGAATGACAATAACAGAAACAACAAAATTGGGAAAGAGGTGATTTTTAAATTTGTCAGAATTCAGTCAGTGTTAATGACCAAACTGTCCAGTTTACATTGTTTTTCCATTTCTGTCAATGGAGAAATCAGAGAACAATGGAGTGGGCTCAGAAAGGCTGCAACGTACTTATGTATCCACATATATGTCTGTGTGTGGAGCAGAGGACAGAACAGAACACAAATAAAAAAGCTATACTACCTTAAAACTCTGTCCAGACAAAAGATCCTCTTGGAACAAGACGGAAAATATATGTCTATTGCATGAGCTTGTTCTTGAGGCTGTGGACCTTCTTCAGTAGTTTTGCCCCATCAATTTCCAAAAAAAGTTTTTGAAAAGCTTCAAATGTGTTCTTGAGCTGCTTTGGATAGTCCAGGTTCAGGGCAAATATGAGTCCCATCAGCAGTACACGTCTTTGTTCGGCTTCCACATCCTTCCATCACTTGGTTTCCCTCAATCACAATCTGATGGGTCCTCCTCAGCCATGATGTTGTGCATCACGATCACCTTCATTGTTTTGTCTGTGTGGTCCTCACATTCCTATATGTTAAAATAAAGAATAAAAAAAGATACACATTTAAAATTTTATTGAAGATGCTTTTTCCATACATTTCAACATATCTAAAGGAGAGCAAAGGGTAGTGATCAGAAGATAGAAGGAAAAGATGAGAGAAGGAAAAGGAGTGAAGAGGATCCCTTGAGTTAATCGATCATCTGTTTTCAAGGACATACCTGGCAGTCATGGAAAAGATCTTCTGGTCTTTCACCAAAGTAGTTAATGAGGCAGCAGACAACTGTATCCTTTTTTCCTCAATGCTCTGTGGCTGTAGGGAGATGCAATTTAGTGAAAAGACTGTTAGTGGAGAGTGGGGAGAGATTTACACACACTAAGTTGGTAAGGAGCTCAACTTTGTGCACAACAAAGCAACTCTTTACAAATTATTTCAATGTTTAATTTAAGTATATCAATAATGACATATTTCTGAAAAAAAATTAATTAACATACGTCATTTAAAGTGTCCAGCAGAAGGTGCATCTTTGAACCAGCAGCCCCTCCTTTAGCACTAAGCTGCAGAAGACCTGGTGTGTTCTCATCAAGCTTTAGCATGAATGTCTCCTCCAAGGAAACTGTCGATAAGTCTGAACTCTTCCTTGATCTAGGACATAAAAGGACAAAAGTCTAATTTTAAATGAAAAACCAGATCTCATAGTCTTCACATGAATGTTTCTTGAGGGGAAGAAAAATTATAAAACGATGAGAAGTAACGCTAAACTTTCACAACATAGACACACGTACGCAGACATGCAGGTGAACTGGAGAGAAAATCATGTTGTTTTTAAACAGACCGCGGCGGAGAGCGACTCCAGCAGCCATGTTAGCTAACAAAGCTAACAGGTCAACAATATAAAACACGGCAGGCATTTCATATGTTGGCGACATATTACTATTAGTATTTTAAGACGGAACTTCTCATGTGCGGCGAAAATACACTAATGAATTGTTCAGCAAATTATTTGTGCCCGTGTCTCGGTGCAGCGTGACGTGGGAGCAGAGACCTGCAGATACTTAACGACCGTTACAACTTAACCACACCGGCAAAAGTTCAGCGTTAGCGTTAGACTAGTTTCTAACCTTAAAACCAGCGGTAACAAACAGTCATGCATGCTGGCTAATCTCAAAAGCACTGCGAACCAATTCAAACCTGCAGTTGTCCAGACAGTTAACAGCCATGTTGCCGCCATGGAAAAATTCAAATTTTGATGTACAGTATTGGCATGTTACAGAGATGCACATCGAATATAAGTGAAGTATCTAATCATTTGTAATGTTAGAATTTGCATTCGTGCTATCATTCACAGCACAACTATATTAATAGCTTACCTTCGCTCCCGGTTCGATGGCAGAGAGGATCCAGAGTTCCTTGTCCCGCTTCTCTTTCAAAAACGCGGTCTGACGCATGCGCAGCTTTGGAGCACCGGACTTAAGAATGGGGGGTAGATTTTACTGTAATTTCCTATCTAATAGTTTTTAATGTTAACGAATGGGTAGCACATGTAGAAATTACCCAACATTTCTTCAATCATTGGCTACCTGAAAAAATACATTAAAATGTACATGATTTTTATGGATCATATTTAACACTCGCAAAAATCACTTTTTTCAGTGTGTGATTTATTTAACTTATACAGTTTGTGTCAGTAGATGAGCATACATGAGATTCAAAATTCCAGAGATTGAATAAAGCATAAATTGAGTACAAGACAACTTAACATTATTTACTTCAACTCGTCATTGTAAACAAAACTTTGTTGTAAGTTTAACCATTGCAATTCTCTATAAAAAACCAGCAGGGAGCAGACATGAGCTTTCTCTAAAAAAAAGGGGAAAAATACATATCTAAATGATGTTTCTGAGATCGATCTTAATTGTGAACTCCACACACTCCGAGTTAATTCACCTCATGATAAGCGCTGAGAAATCTCAGCAGTCTAATCTCCGCCAGCAAGCACAGGGATGAGCGGAATTTTCTATAGCCTATCACAAAACTCTCTCAGATTAGGAAATCTGACGTTTACAGCGCTTTTTTTCTGCGCGGACACGAGGAAAGGTGGGTGTACACACCAGTTGTACTGTGTGGCTTTACGGTGCCTCAGCTCAGATGAGCTCACACAGCCGATGCGCACAGCGTAGGATCCTACCAATGTGAGAAGGCGTAAGGACACGGAGCGGCAGCCTGGTAGTCAGTGGGAAGTGTGTAAGCTTTTGTGCAAAGGCTGTCGACTTTCCGCAGCACAAAGTAAATAGAGAAGCACAAATGCTCTTGTGTTCATTTGTTTCACGTTGGAGAGACTCGGTGGATTTGTAGGTTTTCTGTCTGAATGGAAATCCACTCTTTTCATCGCAGATGGGACTGGACTTCAGACTCAGCGGCTGATAGGAAGAAGCCTGTACTTTGAACACTCCGCTTTCTTCTTTCGTCCTTCTCCATAAAATGCCTGGATTCCGTCTGTCGTTCACTGTCCACTTCAAGCCGGACTGTTCATCTAGAAGGGCGCCAGACCTTCAGTCTCTCAAATATGCAAGTTCAGTCCAATAAATTGTGTCATTGTCTGTCAGCACTGGAATAAGAAATCAATACTCAAGCAAAGAGACGTCATATTCCTCCGGAATTTTAACGATCCGTTTCCCCCCTGTCCCCCTCCTCAGCCATCCTGATAAATATGCGCTTTGGTTGGATTAGGGTGGTCTGGTCCAGCTTGGCGCTTTTTTAGCTGGAGCAGCGCTGATGGGGACTGATTTTTACTGTTGATTTTGTCCATGCAAGACTCGGGGTGGAAACATGTCTGGCCACTTCTTTGAGAGGATCGCTGCTATCAGAGATGGCATTTTGGTCCAGCACTTCGGTTTTCACCTCTAAAGTGCCCCGGAAAATCTTATTCATGTTCACCCTCTCCCTTTCTGTCACCTACTTGTTCTACAGCTTGATGAGCTGCTACAACTCGCTGCAGTTCCCGTTGCAGGAGAACTATGTGTTTCAGGGCAGGCTGGTGACGGAGGATACAACTTTTGTGACACTGAGGGAGAAACTTTATTCGGCTTCGCCAGGCTTCACGGAATTCACACAAGCTGAGAGAACAACCGCGGCTCCGACGGTCGGGGAGCGCGATGAGGCCGAACAAAGGACAGTGGAGTGGATTAGGACGCAGGCATCTCCAACTAAATCTGCGGCGGTGTTTCGCCCCACCGCGCCGGAGAGGGAGCACCAGGAGATCAGCACCACGGACAGTGAACTCAGGGTGAACTGCACCTCGGATTATGGGGAGAAGAAACTTCCCCAAGCCATTATAATCGGGGTGAAGAAAGGGGGTACCCGAGCCCTGCTGGAGGCTCTCAGGGTGCACCCAGACGTGAGAGCCGTTGGGAATGAACCACACTTCTTTGACAGGAACTACGAGAAGGGACTGGACTGGTACAGGTGAGCTCTCAAATCAAACCCTTTATGGGCTCACACAATGCCTTGCAGATTTAATTACAATCACCACAAATTAGATTAGTGAATCGTAGTTTTTTGTTTTTTTTGGCACCTGGCTTATGATTGATGATGACAATTACCTTTTGTTTGATTCACAAATTAGTTTTCAATATCTCACTTAAACTTAGTGTGCAGTATCGGCTGCATTTCTTGCAGGAGAATAATAACTTTTACAGACCCTGATATCAATTTAATGTAACATCGATTGTAAGTATTAACACATTTTGTTACTTACATTTTATATTATAAAACATTTGTTTTTCAATAGTGAATAAACATTTCTCCAAAGTCTTATTTATTATAATAATTTGTTTTACCTCATCAGAAGTCCAAATAGAATTTAGATTTTACACAAATTTTTTCTAAGTGTCAATTAAAATATAAATATTTTAAAATAATGTACACAAGACTAGTTTCCAGCTCAAGGCCTCTAAAACAAGATAGATGTTTTTCAGCAAGTATTGCATTTTCCTAACTTTATTCTTTAATGTCACTTTAAAGTCCCTTATTACATTTATACTCTGTAGACATTGTAATAAATGTCTACAGTTATTTCAGATGCCTTCATGTTGACACCAATAATATTTGAGCAAGTCTAGTGTTTGTGACAAAATGTTGTCATAAATCTGAGTTTTAAAAATGTAAATATTTCTATATTGCTATATCCATCGATGGAATACTTAAAAAGTAAATGACTAAATACTTTTATAACACATATGTTCCAAGCTTGTTACCTAAAGGTTTGGAAATAGTGCTCAAATCGTTTTGAACCGTTGACAACACATTCAATTTGACTCCAGGTTTATTAGCTGTACATTTCAGATGCTTTCATAGGGGGGAGAAAAAATCAATTTGAGCTCTCATTCAAGGTTAGTTGGCCATGGCTCATTTAGGTGTTGTTCTCACAACTTTTTTTCTTTTTTTTTAACCATACACACATCTTCAAATTGAGTCAATGAGCTGATGAGAACGATGCTGACTCTGAGTCCCTTCTGCTCCTTTGTAGAACTTTGTTTGTTATGTTTGTGGAACATCTGCTTTCATCCTGCTGCATAGACACGGGAACTCTCGGCTGCTCATTTAGCCTGTGCTAATGCAAGCTGTTTCATTATGCTTACGGTGAAAGGCTCATTAGATGAGAGGACGGCATGCTTACATAAATAATAACAAATGTGCTTGTTGCTCTTAGGGTCCCTGAGCTTGCAAACTTTGTGAAGAAGGATTCATTTCACTTTCAACTTTGCCAGTTTTAGGACACCCACCAAAAAAAGGAAATCAAGATTTATTTTCTCATTTCAGCTGCCAAGGAACATAGTTAAATGGTTAAAAAGTAGAAAGCCAGTTTTCTTTTTCATTGACAAAGAAATTAATTTGACTAAAGCATGCCTCGAATGATGCATTACATGACATCTTTCTCCTCAGCTGGTAATGCTCTGGCTAATGTGCACTTAATGGAAGTGAAATTATGATCACTTACAGATGTTTGAAACATCAGTGTGGTTAAATGAGACCAGTGATCTCATAAAGTGTGATTCATAAATTTAAGACTGTCTAAGTAACACCTGCTCCACATCTTGATGGAGATGATATATAAACTACAGGGAATAAGACCCCAACACTTCATCTATTGCTGTTTTTAATGTGTAAATGTGTAAATGTGTGTGTGTGTGTGTTTTCTTTTTTTTTTTGACCAAAATTCTAACCTTGTTTGGCACAGTTTCTTAATCTCATTACACAGTCCTACACATATCCAGTTTTAGTCATCTCAAGAGAAAACTGGTATTAATGGACTATATTTATTTATTTAATTATGTTTATTTTATTATTTTTTTAATAATTTAATTTAAATGGTGATATAAAGCAAGCAAAAAAAAAAAAAAAAGTGACCGCACAATTAACTTTAAAATATATATATATATATATATATATATATATATATATATATATATATATATATATATATATATATATATAAATTTCAAATTCTAACCTAATGCTTTGAAGTATTTCATAATTACAAACAAACAAAACAAGAGGACAATTTTCAGAAGAAATACTCCAACTTTTAAACCTGAAAGCCTGTAGAATTGTTTTTGTTTTCTATATCCAGTGTCTGAATAAGCTCCCTCTGAGGGATATCTTGAAAAAATGTATGTGTGGTTAAGTGCTGTGCACCAGTTTTTACCAGCGCAATGCAGGCATAATCTTGTTTTCAGACCTGCCTATATTTCTTGTACTTACAGTTCTCTCTCCAAATACTAAAATAAAATATTAATAAAATAAATTATTCATTTGTTAAATTAGCATTATCTAAAGAAAAACAACTTAGTACTTCTTTCTTTTTGTAGGGAAGATTAAAAGCAGTGTTTCCAAAAATTAGCAGAACAAATTTATTGCACCATTCTTTCTTTGCCAGTTATTGTCTTTTATAGAAATTTACAGTTAAAGCGCATAGGGAGAGGTATCTTTGATAATTCTTCTTCACCATCTAGAGCTAGATTGTTAGTTCATTGGTTGCTACTGAAAGTTTTCTGAGAGAGACTAACAGATTTAAATGTCCTGGTTTTTCAAGAACATGTTAAGAGGACATTTATTCAAACAAGGTAAAATGTGCATACAGAAAGGAAACAAGCTACAAGCATCACAGGTTAACAATGGGTGTTACTTGGCATACCATCTGTTCATCTGTTCTTTTAGAAAAAAAAAAACTAACACATGCAGACATGTAACATGCATACCTGGCACAATAGGAAACAGTGTGAAAGTGACTTTAGTCTCATCCAACCAGAGCACAGTTTCAGTTCAACTCCCAGTAGCAGTAAGAGACAAATCTGA